ATATAAAAAATAAAAATATAAACCTACAGGAATATTTATTTATTCTTTTGTAGTCATTTTATAATGTTTAGTTATCTTTTTCGCTTTTGTTTTTCTATAAAACAAAAAGTGAAAACATAGAGTTCACAATGGTCATCTTGAATTCAAAACAAAACTTTAGAGTTATTAGAATCTTTTTAAACTTTTGGTTAAGTGGATAAAGTTGAACAAAAAGTCACAAAGTAAACAAACAAAATCTCTTGTTGAAAGCACATACTCTTAAGCTAAAAATTGTCTGGAAAATTGTGAAAGAGTGCAGATTAGAGAGGGAAGCAGAACGATGTTTACTGTGTAAATATGATCTGTGAAACTAGTGGGAAAAGAAATTATGAATATGTATGGGTAGTTGAAAATGTGCCCATTGGTGTGTGTTCTCATATTCTGTTTAGATATTTATTGCAAATGACTCAGCTGGTAATGATTTTGTTGTAAATGTACTGATTATTTTCTATAGGTTACTGAATTTTCTTAAATTAATATTCTTTCTCTTTCAATAACTTTGTTCACTTATTAATAAGCTTCAATAACTATACCTTATCATATATAATAGAAGGCTGGATCAAATTAGTAATTGAAGTCAGATATTATCTAATGGAGATATATATTAATCTGCTTTTCTCAATTAATTATGCTCATTCCCTTCATAGGCAGACAACATTATTTTCAATGAGTTATTTAGTATTAATTTAATCTATTTATCTAAATACTTCACTTAAGCAAAAGTAATAATCTTATAAGTGTTTCTGCCACATGGAAATTTACTCATAAATATGATGCAAAATTCTTAGTGGAATCCTATTTAAAATAATATGGGAGTGTAATCAGATTAAAATTACCTATAATCCCAAGGGACACTTAATGGTTGTGTGAAAAGTTATATTTATCAAGTTAGTAATTATAAGATCACAAGCCACCAACAGTCTGAGTTAGTTAGAGATGGTAAGACTTGGTTCTGAGGCAAGAGGTCATACACTGAGGCATAAAGGAGCAGTCTGCATTCATCTCACCAACTCCTCAGAGGACAGCCTGATTGCTGAAAGTCTTCGAGATCATTATTTGTAATGACTCTATTTTAAACAGAGACTGCTCATTCACTTCCCGACCACCCAGACCCAAATAATTACACAGAAACTATATTAATTACAACACTGTTTGGCCAATATCTTGGACATATGTCTAGCTAGCTCTTATATCTTAAATTAAACCATTACTATTAATCTGTGTATCGCCATGAGACTGTGGCTTATTGGCGAGGTTCTGGGTCTCTCTCCTTTGGCAGCTACATAGTGTACATAGAAGACACCATTAGGTCATGGTTTGGTGAGCAACAGATAATGGGTTAAAATTTTATGTTTCCTTAATAAACAATAACTTTTCAATATGCAGTGGCATTAAATATTTGTGGACTTTTTGAGCAGGAATGCACATATTTAGAGTTGGATGACTGGCAGGTGACTATCTGGAACTGACTAGTATGGGGAAAAGTGGGATAGACTCCACCAAGCACCAGTGAAGTTGAGTTATTTGACTGGAAGCCTTCCAAGTATGGAAGCCAGGGCAATGCATTCAGATCTCCATTCCCAAAGACCCATTCTGGATTGTTAAAAAGTATGCCTTGTCAAGCTATGGTTTCTTTCATGATCCACATTAGTTTTTCAATCCAGGACATTCTTTATTCTTAGATTCTACCTACCAATTGACAGAGCATTCTAAGAATACTGAGGTCTATTTTGTTGTTGTTGTTGTTGTTTGTCTCTTCATGGGAAAGACGTCCTTATACTGAGCATCTCATTATTTCAAGCTTCTTATTGAATTAGACATATATTCATGGTGGTCTGTCTTGCTTCCATCTGAAGTCCTGTTTTCCTTATCCCTACTCCCTCCTTAGAGGATTTTCAGATCCCTTATCATTAGGAAGGATTTCTCTACCCTATCTTCCCCTCTGAATTTTGACATTGTTCCCCATAAACATTATCCTAACTCCATTTCCAAAATATTTGTTTCATGATCATTAAATTGTGAAAACCAGGATGGGAAGACAGCCCGGGGCTGTTACTTGATTATGAGGAGTACCGGAGATGAGAAAAGACAGACTTCTGCAGTTCTTACTTTTCCATATTCTCAGCTAGAAACACACATTTTAATGCTTCATTTAAAGAGCTTCTATAAAATATTCATTTGGAAAAACAGAGGAGAAAAACAAAATCAGAGACAAGGGTGGATCAAAGGTAGAAAGAGGCCTGTGCCAGCAGAGGGAAGAGTTTCTGTAAGGAGGCAGAACTCAGAACTCCAAACTACGTAGTTAGAACACTATGTCAAGATGAGTAAGCACAGCTTGTTTTTGTGTGTGTGTTTATTTGGCCTCTGAAATGTCATTTTGTCCTTTAATATGAACACCAATGTCTGTAGGCAACATGTAGAAGGAGGAGACACTAGTCTCTCAAGATGGAAGGCTAAGAATGTATTAATATCCAGGCTTTAAGGGAATAACTAGTATTTTCCATCTGAAGTAATAGATTCAGTTTTCATTTGAAGAACTTTTGGTTAGTTTTGGTTTGTAAATAACATGTATAGCTATTCGTTAGAATGGATGTAATTCATTACAGAAGTAAAATTAAAGACATACATACACACACACACATACACACGTCATATTGATCAGTCTTTGGGATTCTGGATAGTTCAATTTCTAATGAAGTTTGTGTCAATTTTCTTTCCTAGTTGAAGTTAGCAGAGTCAATACAATCTTTTGCTGGTGTACAGTTGCATTAAATATAGTCAGATGAGAGTGGCAAAATGATACTACATGTGCCACCTGCATTGTTATAGCTGTTTAAAACTGTATTAAATGTGAGGCATAAGTACTTGAAAAATGTTCTACTTGTGTTATATTTAGCCCAATTAGCAGTGCTATTTTCTTTAGTGGTTTGCACAGTTGACCCACACCACACCGTGCAAAGTTGTAAGCTTTTTTTTGTGTGTAAAACAATTATTTTAATTATGGTCTTAACATAATCTTGTGTTATCTGAAATTGGACATTCTCATTAGAAGAAAATAGTGTATTTCCAAACAAAATTGGGCAATAATTTATGTACCTGCTGTGTGTATTCAGAGAACAGTTCTCCAACTGTGATATTAATATTAGTATTTATCATGAAGGTAACTTTCTGACTTGTGTCAAGTAAAAGGCAAGATTATGCCCTATAGGGATAATAATAATATTTTTATATAAAAGTATTGATTTAATTATTTCCTTAATGGTTTCAGGGGAAACATGTGGCACTTTGTGTTGATATTGATCTGATTGTACTTTTTCATATAATATGAAATTACATGTAAAACTAATTTAAATATTGGATAGCATAAAAATTATATGTGGCAAAGTCAATTTACTTGATCATTGTTTGGCACAGAAGTAATATGAAGTACATACGTTCAGTTATCAAAGCAGAAGAGTAACTAAAGCATATGGAGCTGGTAGGAAAAATAACAGATTACATCATGGATTAAACACTAAGAGTGGGGGTTGGAAGGTTCCTAAGGACACAAGCCATCTGTCCTGGGTATTCTCTGCTTTTCTATCTTTCTTGATCTGAAGCATGATTCATAAAAACTTAGAGTCAGAAGTTGGGGTTCAACCTGAAGATACTAAAAGCAAAACAGACAGCCTCTGGCTCTTACCTCAACCTCAGTCCAAAATGGCAAGTCTGCCTCAAGGAATCTCAGAATGAGACTGCATCCCCTTCCCCCATCTTACATTCCTCTCTAGAGCTGAGATTAAAGGCATGCACCACCCGATTTCTATGACAGCTAGTGTGGCTACTGGGATTAAAGGTGGATGTTACCATAACCTGGTTTGAAAGGCTGACCAGTGGGACTGTTTTATATTTAGATCTTAGGGCAGTCTTTATTCATTAAAATACTACTGAAATGCCACTACATTCCCCCTTTTTGTCTAAAATAGAAAAGAAGGCTATAACGAATATAAAAAAACTATATACAGTAAGTGCAATAACTATACATAATATATACAGGCAATAAATAAATCAACAATGTCTAGTCCATTTGCATTTGGCAAATTCAAAGAGAATATTTCATATCTATTCTATCTTGATGAGTCAATAATAATTTTCAAGGACTAGAAATTCACATTACATTGTTAAATCAGCTGTATATGTATAATAACTTGGACAAGATTAGAAATATATATCAATATGTTTTAACAAAATTAATCTCAAATTTGTGTCACTATACAAAATTTGCATACAATATACAAAGTAAATCTAATGTAAAACATTTAAAACTAATAGTTGCTTTTAAAAAGTAGATTCAATAATCTCTTTCTATCTTAGCATCTTTATATTCTTTTTTCTTTTTCTTTCTTTTTTTTCTAAAGGAGATCCCTGAGCCTACAAAATTTACACACCAAACCCCAACCCTATACCAATTATAATCAATCCCTAATTGATGTACCAAACCCTGAGGACAAACTTCACTGGGAGAGGGGACATCATCTTTTAGAATTACTTCAAGTTGTCATTGGAGTGATGTGTTTTTTTTCCCCCTGTGGGATCCTGTAAAATTAAAATGATGGTCAAGTTTCAAGATTATTGTCTCTGAGTAGTTGATAGGGTTTTTCTGAAGTCTTTATAAATTCTGGTCAGAATATTGTAA